TTCAGTCCTGGAGCAGCGGAAAGGCCTTAAATATCCACCTCATAAGGACTTGGGGTTCCTTCTCATCAGCATCTGATCCTTTCTGGATCATGTGCTGCTGAAATGAATTCTGGCAACTGATTTGGTGAAACCAGGGCAGGAAGATTAAGACGATACCATTACTTACAGGGTCGTTAAAAGTTCCCCCTAGGTGCTCCACTGCGTAGTAAATCAACTTCTTCTCCATCAAAGATCTCTGCACATAATGTTGAATACTCTAAAGGAAGCAAAGAGACTGTCAACCAACCACTCCACAAAAGACAACGCCAACCCTGTCCAGGGAAGAAGCTTGCTCCAACACACTGCTGTGCACTACAAAAGCCCAGTTCTGTCCTGAAGGGACCCTGCCTGGTACAGACTGCGAGAAAATTCAGGCTCCGGTTCCTTCAGTCCTGGGCTTGGCACACATCTGCACTAATATATGTTTCTCTATCTCCTGGACTGTGATTCTATCATATGAGACAGGAGAGGGCTAGAAAGTACAGAGCTGGGGTTGTAACTACCTCTCTGGCTGTGACAGCTGTGTCCTCTCCCAGTTCTGTGCGATACTGTTCCATTTTCTCCAACATCGGCTCATCCGTGGGATAGAAGAGCAAGTAGGAAGCAGCACACTCAGCAGCCAGTGCCTGGTTCCCAACTTGGGCAGGGACAGAACAGAACAAAAATGCATGTCTCTGAAACACTTGATGTGAGCAGCGAGTTATGATATGACAGATATGATAGAGGGCCTGGTGGCTTCTTTGAGATACAAATTTTAGCAGTGGTCTGAGAGAGGAGATGAGAGACAGTTGGGTCAGTGTGGGAAGGAGCAGAAGCATCTGAGAGAAGAGCTGAGAGACATGTGGAAGTGACAGGGTGACAGCATGACCAATGTTGTGACAGGCTGATGTTCAGTGAGGGCAGGCAGGGCTGACTCAGGAGGAACACCACCGCTGAGATGAGATGCATGCACATGCTCTAGATAGGAAGTGGAGGCCTGGTCTGGAGCCATGTACCCAAAAGGGGGTATAAAATACACAGCAGATAGCTGGAGCAAGGACTTCAAATGGAGATTGCTGGATGAAAGAAGTGGGAACAACCACACATTACAGAAGCTGCAAAGAAGACTGAAGTGGACCACAAGGGTCCTCTCCCAAGGTGGCCATAGGCTTGAGCAAGAGAAGAGAGGTTCTGGGAAGCACCAGGGGCCAGAACTGGGGAGAGAAGAGGTAGAGCTCAGGTCAGTGTGCCACTTCTCCTCATGATGTGCTGCCCTCCAGGTCCAGAGGCAAAGGGCAAGTTTAGAGGTGTCACAGCATAACCCACTGAGTTGTGACTCTGCTCACCTTGATCGTAGGCAAACTGCAGTAAATCAAGATGAGAGGGTATGAAATCTTCCATGGCAGAAATCCGCCCTGGCTTTGTGGCAATTTCAAGGACGCAATGCTGTCTGCACTTCAAAACCTGAATATAATGGCCTGCAAGAGAGAGGAGCAAGAAAGGCAGCAGCTCCCACTTCTGCCAAACAGGAGTGCTGGGAAATGAGGCATGTCCAGCATGGGGAGCACAGCCTTCCTACCCAACCCTCTGTGCCTTTAGCACTACCTGCAATGGCTTCATACAGGCCTGGTTGCATCTCTTCCTCCTCCTCGTCCTCGTCCTCCCGAGGCCCTTCACACAGGGCGCGACACTCTTCCAGAGCCGACAGCGCCTCTGTAAGCGACTCCTCCAGCTTGGCCACAGCCTGCAGGTACTCATCGGCATTGTAGTGCTGCAGCCCAGCCTCGTACGCTTCCTGCAAAGTACAGATACAGGCCCCTCATGATTGCGGGCGATGCCAGACTCCCTGAGACTTGGAGTCACTCACAGGACAGTGCTGACATCTAGGGGCCTGCCCAATCATGTGCAGCCCACCATGCAGTGACAGTAAAGCTTCGGGACCTAAGCCAAATGTGCTTCTTCGAGGCCCTGTAGCCTGCTGTAATGGTCACCAGAAAGTCTCTGTATCGCAATTGCAATGGCTCGCCTTCACCCTGAAGAGAAGGCTTCAGGGAGACCTTATTGCAGCCTTTCAATATAGAAAGGGGGCTTGTAAGAAAGACTGAAAGAGACTTTTTACCAAGACCTGTAGTGACAAGATAAGGGGTAACACTTTTACACTGAAAGAGGGTAGATTTCGATTGGAAATAAGGAAGAAATTTTTTACAGTGAGGGTGGTGAGACACTGGCATAGGTTGCTCAGAGAAGCTGTGGATGCCCCATCCCTGGAAACATTCAAGGTCAGCTTACACAGGGCTTTGAGCAACTTGGTCTAGTGAAAGATGCCCATGGCAGGGGGGTGGGACTAGATGAACTTTAAAGGTCCCTTCTAACCCACATCATTCTGTGATTCTGTGTATGGGGGCTTTGTCTCAAGCCATGGCCCTTGTGTGGGAATAGATCCCTGTCCCAGACTGGTCCCTAGGATGGGATAAGAGCTGCTGATGCCCAGTTCTCCATCGAACTCTCACCCAGTGCGGTGTGGCCTCCAGGTCCCTGAAGTTGTCTGACTTCACCCCTGACATACGCCGGTACTTCTCGATGTCTTCCCGCATTTGGAGGTGCTGGGGATTAGCGACAAAGAAGGTGTGAGCGGCAGATACAGCTCGATCCAGCTTCTTCAGCTGCGGAGATAAAAAACAGAAGTGCCTGTCATGCCCCAGCTGCTCCCTGGATTCACCCAAAAGCCCCGGCAGCCAGGCTGGCGAGTCCTTGTCCCACCACCTCAGTCGGTGGCCCTCCAGGAGAGCCCTACAGAGCCAGCACCCGGTCTTCGCAGACAGAGACCCTCGGGTGGCGACTCCCAGCCCTCTGAGGAGACCCCACCCCGGGGAAGGGGGACGCCGGTGCCGGTCCCCACCTGGAAGAAGGCCACTTGGAGGTAGTTGTAGGGCTCCCTCTGCTCGAAGTCCCGGCGGATGGTCTGGCTGGCGCGGTGGGCGGACGGCGAGGAGCCCAGCTGCCGACCCAGGCAGTCCTGCAGGCAGTCGGCCCGCTGCAGTACCCGGCCGAAGAGGGCGGCTTCCCAGGGCCCGGCCCCC